TAGCATTGTCTCCATCTTATTCACGTTGTAAGTAGCATTGTTTCCATCTTATTCACGTTGTAAGTAGCATTGTCTCCATCTTATTTACGTTGTAAGTAGCATTGTCTCCATCTTATTTACGTTGTAAGTAGCATTGTCTCCATCTTATTCACGTTGTAAGTAGCATTGTCTCCATCTTATTCATGTCTAATCCGTACTAACGCATTAGCTGAATGTATATGACTGATTATTGTTTGATTCCATTACTCACCTTTTCGTATGTATATGTTTCAGATCTCCATCATTCTAGATGTCATAGTTCATGAATAAAGGATATCAAGAAACAGTAGTCCATACTCATTTACAGAGTCGTAGGTGTGGTGAATGTACGTGGTAGTGCGGTTGGTTGGACTGGTTGTTCTTGAAGTGTTGATCCAGGCTGAGGTGTCGGTGATGCGGGCATGGTATCTGGAGTAGAAGGGACCGGTTTAGGATCTGGGTTATTACACACAGTGTCTGGGGAATCAACAGGCGTGTTACTAGTAAGTTCGCCACGGTGAATTGGTGAAGTGTCCCTTCTAGTGGTACTCATGTCGGTGTCTAAATTACCGTAAGTGATTCCAGGTTTCGACGGTGTCTGTATGAGAGTCGACTGAGGCATAGGAGTTTTTGATAGACTCTGTAAATCAATCGCAATGGTTTGTCGTGTTGGGGGTTGGTACACAGGTGTGTAACGACGGAGGAATTTCCTGTTGCGTAGTGTTATTCGTCCAGAACCATCAGTTCGTACGGCATATTGGTCAAATTGATGGACTTCAATGACCTGACCTGTTTTATCCCACTTTAGAGGGTGACGACCAGTGTGGTTTTGTATTCTGACGAAGTCACCAACTTTGAGTGGTGGTAGATGTCAGGTATGTTCACTAAGGCGTTCCCCTGTTTTTATATGTCTGTTTCTGAGGGCAGCCTCACGTAGAGCTAGAGTGTCTTGCCATGTGTCGTGGTGTAGGTAACGACCCGGAAGGATGGGAATGAAGTCTTTCACAGCACGTCCGAATACACACATAGCAGGTGAAAGTTTTGTATCCCGATCAGGGGTGTTTCGATACTGCAAAATGGCACGCTGGAAGGCATCAGTGTTAAGTTCGCCTTTCGGGCCGGTGTTGTCAGTGAGCATACGTGTATGCGACAGCAGTACGTGTAAGTCAGCCTACTGCTCCTTCCGGCAAACTCAACGTCTGTCTGGGTACCGTTGTAAAAGAGACGAGGCGACGGACAAGCTGGAAAATGATAGGCTAATCCAGTGAAGTGGGTAGCAACCAAAACTTGTCGGGCTCGTTTCTTTTCGGAGTTTCTACTATAAATGTATTAAGGATCTCCATCATAAGATGGAAACACTACTATGATTATTGACCGATGGATTACAAATGGCATAAGCAAGAAAGGGGGGCTAACTATATGATGTCCAAATAATAATTCGGAATGCAGTTAGTCTGTAATTGATTATGATGTTCTTTTCACTTGTAACCAGTAATCCAAACATAGAATAAGGTTAATTGCTACTTGCAACTTACTAATTAGTCAACATATAAATGAAATCAACATTGCAACTGTAATTAGGTAGAAATTAAGCACCTAAGTTATCACTTATTGTGATTTATGTCAAGATTAACACAACAAAGTTTAATGAACACTTATGGTAGATCGGCCTTCACAGGTTAGACTGCCCTCCAGCCGGGGGATTATTCTGCCTCGTTATCAACTGCACATAATCCTGTAACCATCCTGGTTTCACACTTGGTCGTTTGGAACGTCGCGGAGTCGTAGGTGTGGTGAATGTATGTGGTAGTGCGGTTGGTTGGATGGGTTGTTCTTGAAGTGTTGATCCAGGCTGAGGTGTCGGTGATGCGGGCATGGTATCTGGAGTAGAAGGGACCGGTTTAGGATCTGGGTTATTACACATAG